TCTCTCTCTCTCTCTCTCTCTCTCTCTCTCTCTCTCTCTGCCTTTCTTTCCCTGAGATAAAATGCACAGTATTTAGATATCCTGTTTCAAAGAGTTTCGATGTCGGCCCTGAACACATTTTATTAGGCTTTTATCATGCCAGGTTCTCTGTATTTTATTTATCTAATTTGAAATTCTGGAGTCTAGGTTAAAGAAGATAATATGGTAAGTAATAGTATCATATTTGCCAAGCTCAGTCTTCATGTATCCATCTGTGACTTGAAAGAAGTTCACTCACCATCTTACTTTTAGAAGGAAAGAACAAAACTTGTTCCTTCCAGGACTTGATGCCACAAATGTAAATGATACTGCAGCATAAAACAGAACAAGGAGATGTTAGAATGTTACAAGGAAAGGAACGTTGGATAGTTTCATTCCATATTGGCAAGAAGGAAAAACATTAACAACTCTAATATGAATAAAATCATAGCTGCAATAGGCAAATTTAAAATGTTATCACTTGTTTCCCCACCCATATGGAATGATACCTACTCCTCTGTACAAAAAATACAGTTTCAAAACAATAACTATTGATTTAAAGAGGCCAATTTGGCTATATTTGCATATGGGTCAGGCTCAACTTTATCCTTTAATTCTTTGTTAAACTTAAAATATTTCCACAAGTCCTTGGGCAGAGAGCCAAACATAGAATTATGTACAAAAAGAGTAGCTCATGAAAAGTACAAATGCTTGTATTTATCTTGACAGTTATAAAGTGAACTGACATTTTATTGGATGAAAATTAGATTCTCAATGATAACAAAAAATACCAAGTACTGTGCTTCACATTAGTATTTTTTTTTTTTTAACTTTCTTGGTATTGGTTTAAAAACATCTCTGTACATTAAAGGTAGTTTAGTTTTAATGTATTGATATTGGTTTGTCTGTTTTCTATTGTCTTTTATATAATCCAACAGAAAAGAAAATCTCATTTATTCAGTCCACCAGTATAACTGCCTAACAGCTGTCTCAGTTCCCTCATTTGAAAACTGTGTTCGTCACTGGTACTCGATGTGGGAAAGCCTCACAGGTACACAGAACAGTTACTCTAAAGGCTGTAATCCAGAAAGATGGCGGACTTCAGGCAGTAAGAATGCCGCTATCTTCACAGCACTAGGGAGCCAGATGTAAGGCAAAATTTTGATTTAAGAGTGCCAAGGTGAAGCCAAGACTAAAGGGCGCATTGACAATTTATATTGCTAATCTGTCTGTGTGCATAGACACAGCAAAGACCTCTCTGCACAGTGAAGGGAAGTAACTCTGCACTACTGTAAGCAACAGTGCTTCCTCATGGAATGGGGAACGAACTCCCAGATCACTGTGTTCTTTACAACCCAGTAGAAAGCAACTTAAAAGGCCTGTACACATCTGATGACCAAGGCCCGAGGAGAGAACCACAGGAGCAGCCAAAGACAAAGGCACAAGCATCATGAGGAATCAGTTCATACATTCACTCAAGAAAGGAGCCTGCAAAACAATTCACACTAAATAGACACAGGGGCAAGGATCTTTTGTTGCATGTATGTTTTAAAAAATTCATCCAAATCAAGTTAGTGACTGATAGCACTATACCATGCATGATGATTCAACACCTATCCCCCTGCTTAGTGAA